ATATAAATTATTTTAAAAATAAAACTTAATGGTAATTTATTTTATTTTGGTAAAGTATATTCAGCTTGAATTAATTTTAAGAAACAAAAGAAATTAGTATTTATAAGCTTATTAAATATGTTAATATATTAATAAGAATCAAAAATAATAATAAGCAAAGTTTTAATTAGAGAAGATGAAAAAGTATAAAAGCATATATTAAATTGCAAATTTGTAGTACTATTTAAAATAATTGCTTTAGTCTAGTGGTTGATATGTTTGTTTTAAATAGTGGCAAGGTCCGAGTTCGAATCCCGGAATGTTCATATTTTTAAAAAAATAATGAAATCGAAACGACATCGTTTTATCATTTTAAAGGTTGACTAACTTCTGTTACGATCAATGTAGGTTTAGGCACGTTTTATAAAGTTTTGGTAGTATTTTTGAATTATAACGTAGTTCAGGTTGTATTTGGCACTGGATGTTTGTTCGGGTTGTATTTGGCACGATTAAATTTGTTTGGGTAGGAATAGACCCGACGTCGTTTTATCATTTTAACGGTTGACTAACTTCTGTTACGGTCAATGTAGGTTTAGGCACGTTTTAAAAAGTTCAGGTAGTATTTTTGAATTATAACATAGTTCAGGTCGTATTTGGCACTGAATGTTTGTTCGGGTTGTATTTGGCACGATTGAAATTGTTTGGGTAGAAATAGGCCCTTTTCCCGAGAAAAATGCCACATAATATTCATAAACCCAACAGAAAATTCTTAAAATGTTAAACCAGACTTAACTTTTGAATACTAAATCCTAAGCTGCTATCACTAAACCCAAACCTCAACCCCCACCTTCCAAATACTAAACCCTAAATCCTAGACATTAAACCCTAAACCTAAATATAGATCCTAAATCCAAATATAATGAAACAAAATACATAGAATAGTACATATTGGTAAACAAAATAAAACACATTATTAATCATCAAATGGAACGATACATGATATGGTCACTAAACTCAAACCTCAACCCCCACCTTCCAAATACTAAACCCTAAATCCTAATCACTAAAACTTAAACTCATGTATAAATCCTAAATCCAAATAGAATGGAACAAAATATACAGAATAATACATATAGGTGAACAAAATAGAACACTCTTTATTAATCATTAAATGGAACAATACATGATAGGATCACTAAACCCAATCCTCAACCCCCACCTTCCAAATACTAAACCCTAAATCCTAATCACTAAACCCTAAACCCAAGGATATACCCTAAACCCAAATAGAATGGAACAAAATAGATAGAATAGTACATATTAGTGAGAAAAATAGAACACCCTTTCTGAATCATCAAATGGAACGATACATGATACGGTCACTAAACCCAATCCTCAACCCCCACCTTCCAAATACTAAACTTCCTAATCACTAAACCCTAAACGCAAGTATAGACCACAAACACAAATATAATGGAACAAAATAGATAGAATAGTACATATTAGTAAGCAAAATAGAACACTCTTTATTAATTATCAAAAGGAATGATACATGATATGGTCACTAAACCCAAACCTCAACTCCCACCTTCCAAATACTAAACCCTAAATCCTAATCATTAAATACTAAACCCAAGTATATACCCTAAACCCAAATAGAATGGAACAAAATAGATAGAATGGTACATATTAGTGAGAAAAATAGAACACCCTTTATGAATCATCAAATGGAATAATACATGATACGGTCACTAAACCCAATCCTCAACCCCACCTTCCAAATACTAAACTTCTTAATCACTAAACCCTAAACTCAAGTATAGACCACACACACAAATAGAATGGAACAAAATAGATAGAATAGTACATATTGGTGAGAAAAATAGAACACTCTTTATTAATTATCAAAAGGAACGATACATGATATGGTCACTAAACCCAAACCTCAACCCCCACCTTCCAAATACTAAACCACATACATATGCACCAAGTATTCTATTCCATATCAGCGAAATATTATAAGATTGTAACTCCACCTACAACCTTTAAATACTAAATATATCCCAACTTTAGTTATCCTTAATCCCACCACAACCCCTTAATATTAAACCTTGAATTCTAATCAGTAAATCATAAACCAAATATAAACCATAAACCCCAATATAAACCCTAAGCCCAATCGTAAACTCTAAACCCAAATAGAATGAAACAAATAAATAACATAGTACATATTTGTGAAATTTGAAATATTTGTGATTGCATGTAAGAAGTTAACGCTGATCCCAACCATACCGCTTCATCTTCTAAATACTAAACCCTAATCTTTAAACCATAACCCAAATATGAACCCTAAATCCAAATATCAAATCTAAAAAATAAACAATATTATGTAATATTAAATAATATTATGTAATATTCAACTATACAATATATATCATAATACGATATTTACAGATTTAAAATATGTAAAGAAAGATAGAATTTAAGAAAATCACAA